AATTCCTACTGAACATGTTCTTGTCAAATCCTCTTTTATCTATTCACCATCATCATCATTATCCCGGTGCAGTCTTATCCCTGTACTAAAGTACAAAGAGACTGTTTCCATATGACCCATTGTGAAAATCGCGTCGAAAATTGCATGGACTGGCTGCTTCTTCATAACAAAAAAGCGTAGACAATGTAGTGAGTCATTTTGCTTTATTTTTTCTTTATTTATTTTCAATTTTTTTATTACGATAGAGATTTCGCATACTAATATAGTATAGTAGTTTTAGTAGTTAGTACGTAATACCACATTATTAAATATTACTCTGTTCCGCTAATATTGTCTCATTTTATCTTTTCGGTCTGTCCCACTAAGATTGTCTCATACCAAATTGGTAAAGTTTGTGTGACTCTAAATCATTCTTATTTTATCAATTCAACATCAACCACATAAACCACTCTTTATTAGTTTGTGTGTCACTCTCTCTTGTCCCATTGTTAGTGGGACGGAGGGAGTACTAGGAATACAAAGTACTGCGTATGATAATTATATTATTTGTTAACTTATTCAAATTTAATAAATTGATATCTTTCTAAACACTCCGTAATTGATAATGGACTATCAAGTTAAATTAATCCACTGTTTCAAAAAAAGTTAAATTAATCCACTATAAGCGTAAGTATGTTTTTACTGGAACTATTTCTAGTCCCATATCATAACAGACCAGACCAGACCAGATCAAACTTCGATAGTTATAAAATATATAGAGACCAAACATTAATCAGACTAGACTAGTTCAGATTTCAAACCAGACATGATAGATCAGCCAAAAAATTCCAATCCAAGTAAAAACACCCTAACATAGTGTAATTACATATTAATAATAAACTTTATAAGAGGTGGTTATGTGAAAATTATTGAGCAAATGTTGAGATTAATACGAAGTACTTTTCTAAATGTAAAGACAGCAACTTTATTCCATGAGTGTTCACATTATATTATACATTATACATTTTACATATAACATATATGTATAATATATAGGAAGTATTATTACATGAGTTTATTGTTAATATAAAGATCTAACAAAATGGCATCTTGATAATAATTATTGTGGTCATCGTACTAGAACTGCGATTGAAGATCATCAATAACTTTGGTGTCGACGTGAAATGCTTTAGTGAGAACGTCTAAATCGATGGGTGGATTAGATCCAAAAACAGCATTGCCGATCGTAATAACTCCTGGATTTTGGCTACTTAGTCCAGATAAGGAAATAGCGTTTGACTTCCCGAGGTTGTGCTGGAAATGAATAAGGCCTTGTGGAAACACAAAAACATCTCCAGGGTATAACGTCTTAGTAAAGAGCTTATTTTTCATTCCCGGTTGAGGGTTTGAAAGGACAAATCCAACGTATAGAGTACCCTTTAAGAGCACGAGGACTTCTGATGCTCTTGGGTGGGTGTGTGGAGGAACGACCCCGTTGGGAGCAAAATCAATACGAGCTAGTGAAATGCCGAGAGTATTCAACCCAGGTAGGGTATCTATAGTCACAGCTGAAACTGCAGATCCAAGCTGATTTGATGTATTTCCAGGTTTGTTAAGGCCCGCCGAGAGAAAAAAGTCTCCAGCATCGACATCTGTTGGATTCTTGCAAATCTTTCCATTGACAAACACTACCATAGAAAACGAAAAGTCAGATGTTAAATGTACACATACAAAGGTGTAATAGTCAACAAGAAAAAACAACAAATCACTTTCTTAAATGTATCATTTATTTGTAACATTATGCCGGTTTAGAAATAATAAAGTAAGAAAGATATTGTAAATATCTTTCTTAAAACGAAGTAGAAATAATGTAAAATAATAAAGTAACAAAGATATTGTAAATCGATAGAGTAGGTGAGGAAAAAGGAATCAAGAGTAAAAGACTAAAAGGTAATGCTATTTAGATAATTTAATAAATAGAACTTCACCTTAAAGGGGAGTGTTGCCAAGATTAAAATATTATCCAAAAAAGAAAGTGTTGCAAAAATTAAAACACTGTCCAAAAAAGAAAGTTTTGCAAAGACTAAAACACTGTCCTAATTAAAGAAGAAAGTGTTGTAAAATAAAAGAATACGGGGTAGAGTGGTAGACGGGTAGTATATACAAAGAACTAATGAACGATGCACTTTTCATCTTGTTAGACCATTTCAAATTTGACTAACATATAGAACTAAAAATTAAAAATAATATGATTGATAATTGTAGAAAGAAGAAAAACTGATACGGAGTAATTTTTGTGACCAATAAGTACAGAAATTTAATTAATTTTAATGGCAATTGAGGCTTTGTAAATGAGTATCCATATGGATTTGTTTATTTATTATTTTTATAGAGTGGGCCCTTTTAAAAGTGGTGCTCTAGGCATGTAATATTGTGATGTGCCGAGGCTATTAAGAGGAAAATTAAATCATAGATACCCTAAATTGAATTGTGTTAGGCCCATAAAAAGTGCACATCAATTTATGGCAGAGTGAGTCACTACATTTTACAAGCATGTTATATTCTTACAGAAACATCAATACATATAATGATACACATAATTAAATTCCAAAATAACACTAATTAATGAAATTGAATTGGGTATATGAGATCGATATATACCACCAGCCTTGGAATCATTAATTGCAACACAAAAGTCTTGTAATTGACTGGGATCTGATGCACTGCCAAAAGAAGCTATAGTAATAGCCAAAATAGCAAAGATGAAGAACCGAAAAGCCATTCTCTTATGTGGAATGAAAAGCTGTGAAGATTATATAGTTAAAAGTTTTTGAACAATTGATGAGAGAAGAAGAGGGAGGGGAGTGTATATTTATAGTCTTTACTATCAATTATTATATTGTAATGCATACTCTATTATGACTGGACTTGTTCAAGTCCCTGCTTAAATTAAGATCAAGTCTATAGCTATGTTTTCTTAATATAGATATTTAAATATATTTACCCAACAACTATACCATAGGCTGGACTTGTTCAATTCCCTGCTTAAGATCAAGTCTACTAGCTCTGAAGCTTCTTTTCTCTCTTACGCGTAAGGAGATTAGGGGAATACATCAAACTTATGAAAGCCATTCTGTGGTTAATAAAGGTCTTTCATGTCTCTAAAATATACTACGTATATAATTAGTGTTTGTGTTTGCTTCTATTTTAAGTAATTAATAGCATACGATAATACAGTATTATATGACAAAGATGGTTTTGATTCTTTTGAAAAGTAAAAGTTAGTATTTTGGCAAAAAATAAACATTTGATAGAACTCGACATCCACATATTTCCTATTTTTAGCTTTAGAGTACTATATCCGTCCTATTTTGTAAGATTTTGACTTGTTCGAAAAATATGATCACTTTCCTAAATCGGATTCAACTAACTTTCTACTTTCTCACCTTATCTATTTATTACTTTATTTATTGTTTTCTTTAAAACCTGCACCAAACTCAAGTGCATCTCACATTATGGGGCAAAGTTAGTACTTAATTTTAGCATCTATTGTTTGCAAACATTATTTTTAACTTATTTTAAGTTAACATTTGAAAAGACTTTTCTCAAGCCATGGAAAATTCTTCATAACAACATTGTTATGATCCTGATATATTTTTTTTTTTCAAATCATCGATTTCTAATTTCTGCACTAATAATCATTATATAGCGCATAAACTTTTACTGCCATTATTTCACTTCACTTTCCTCATCTTTGAAGACCTTTAATGAATACACGTGTCACAATTCATCCCAAGTACATTTTTCTTGGTTATCAACTCTGTAGATGGTTCTGGGTTAATATATAAAGCTTTGTTTACAACTGATCTGGACTTCAAGAATCTAGGCAACAATTTGTCATGATACATTTCTTCTTTAAATTCTTTCCTCTTGAATGATTTGTATTGTATTCCATACACAAACAATAGAGTACATCACTTTTTTGTGTAATACCACCAAATGGCTGAAAGAATGCATAAATTTACCTCATAACTCAAGGATTATGAATGAAACCTCCCCTCATTAAGGGCATCCTGATTAGAATAAATTGAAGGAGCTACATATAGTGGTGGACCGGGCCCGGTCCGGTTCCGGTTCGGGCTTAGGCCCGGCCGGGCCTGGAAGGTTGACGGTAAGGCCCGGGACCGGGCCGGTAGGCTACCGGTTCTGGGCCGGGCCGGTTCCCGGTTATTTTTTTTGTGTTTTATTATTTATTTCAACCCCTACCACCCCCTCATCCCCCCACCCCCCAAACCCCTCGGAATCACCCACCCCACCTAAACCCAGCCCAAACCCAAAAAAAGTGACCCGAATCGGGCGGGCCGGTTCGCTATTTTGGTGCCCCGGGACCGCCCCCGGTATGCTCTCCGGGTCGGGCCTAGGCCCAGTACCGGAACCGGTCTTCCGGGCCGGGCCGGTCCCGCACAGTAGCGGGCCAGGCCGGTTCTCAGGCCGGGCCGGTCGGACCGGACCGGGTCCATGACTAGCTACATACAGAATTGCAGACAATGGAAAGCTACACAAAAATGATGCAGAAAGCTGAACACACCCAACATACATGGATTGATACATAACAGATCACATTGATTATCATTGTTACTTAATTGAAACCATTGCAATCCCAGGAAACCCATGATATATTTATTCTACATTTGTACATCCATTTATGTGCCATGTGGCGTTTTATTACAAGTTACAAGAAGCCGGTACGGAAAATATTAATAATAATAATTCGGAGTACTAATATGCAGATACATATGTAAACTCATTTATTATTGAATTAATTCCACTTTTGATTCTATGAGTTTTATGTGAATTCCACATTTAGTGCACGTCTTTTATTTTGTCTACTTTTGACACTTGACTAATGTTTCTTGACCATATGTGATCTTTTTCGTCGATTTTAACCAACGAAAACACAATAGTCATGTACCAAATGTTTAAAGTCAAAGACGTGAACCAATTGTAAAATTGATGCGACACTCGTATGACCAAAAGTGAGATTTATTCCTTATTAATTATTGTTTATTTTTTATTATACTCCTTAATAATAATAAAGTCCGTATAAGTACTCCGTATTAGACTACTAGTTACTCCATTAGGTATTATTGCTGGGCCAGAATTGAGTTTGGAGACGCTGGATCTGACGGCCGCTCAATCGGAAAGCCCTAATCAGAACATCCGGGTCGATCGCCGGATCGGAACCAAAGACGGCGTTGGCGATAGTAATCACCCCTGGATTCTGGCTATTGAACCCTGAGAAGGCAAGGGCAGGCGTTTCTCCAACGTTGAATTGGAAGTGGATGAGGCCCTGCGGAAACACAAAAACATCTCCAGCGTTCAATCTCGTCGCGATAAGGCGATTCTGCATTCCCGGCGGCGGATTGGAGAGGACGTACCCGACGTCGACCGTGCCTTCCAGGAGAGCAAAGACTTCGGTGGCTCTGGGGTGGGTGTGGGGAGGGTTCACTCCTCTCGGCGCAAAATCTATTCGGGCGAGTGAGGTGCCGAGAGTGTTCAATCCGGGGAGGTTGTTTACGTTCACGGCGGTCACTGCCACTCCCAGCTGGTTTGAGGTGTTTCCGGGAATGTTTAAACCCTGGAATCGGAAATCGTCGGCTACGACGGCCGCCGGATTCTTGCAAACAAACCCATTCACCAATACTGCCCAATAGAAGAAAATGATATAGCAGGTTATTTACCGGGTATAAACTATAAATAGCCAAATAAGTAGGGGTGAGATTTTGGACCAAAAATTTTGCAAATCAAACCGGATTGAACCGTTATGATTTGGTGTGCTCCGATTCCAACAATTTTAAGTTACTGTATTCATTAATGCTTGAAATCCTCCTAGTCAAATCCTTTTATCTATTCACCATCATCATTACCCCGGTGCATAGTCTTATCACAACTAAAGTACAAAGAGGGTTGTTTCTGAATGACCCATTGTGAAAATCACGTCGAAAATTATATGGACTGACTGTTTCTTCATAACAAAAAAAAAGCGTAGGCATTTTAGTCAGTCATTTTGCTTTATTTTATCCTATTCACAAATATATAAAAAATAGAGATTTTTTATTTATATTCAATTTTTCATAGTAGACTAGTTTTAGTAGTTAGTACGTAATGCCACATTAAATATTACTAGTAATACAAAGTACTGCATATTATAATTATATACGTAGTATATTATTTTTTAACTTATTCGATTTTTTCTTTTGGCAAAACTTATTCAAATTTAATAAATTGATACTACGTATCTTTCTAATTAATTGATAATGGATTATCAAGTTAAATTAATCTACTATAATTATTTCTAGTCCCATGTCAGACCAGACCAGACTAAATCAAACTTCGATAGTTATAGAATACACAGAAACCAAACATTTTTTACCAGACCAGCCCAAACAGATTAGATAAAAAAATTGCAATCCAAGTAAAAACTTGTTAGGATACTTTCAAATGTTTAAGAAAAACAAAAGACCAGAGTTCCATCTTTTCTTTATCTTATACTCCGTACCATCTATGATAATCATGGATTGCTAACTAAGAAGTCGTTCTCTTCGTCTTATTCTTATTATTTATTGCTTATTCTTATTTTATTCAGATCAGATCAGACTAGATCAGACCAGATCGGAAAAATTCAGATTAGATCAGATCAGAAATATTCAGACCTGATCTGAAAGATTCTGATTAGACTAGATCAGAAGATTTAGATTAGATCACAAACATTCAGATCAGATCAGATCAGATCAGAAAAGTTCAAACATGATTTATTACTTTTATTATTATATTAATTATAATTACTATTACGATTATATAATAGTTAATAATTTATTATTATTAGTATTATTATTAATAATTATATTATAATAATAATAATAATAATAATGTTTCTATTATTATTATTATTATTATTATTATTATTATTATTATTATTATTATTATTATTATTATTATTATTATTATTATTATTATATAATAAAAACATAATATTATAATAATTATCATAATAATATAATAGTAATAATATGCATATTATTATTATAATATTATTATTATAGTAATATAATAATAATATATTATTATTATTATAATTATAATTATAATTAGAATTTTAGATATAATTATATTTATTATTATTAATATTATTATTATTATTAATAATACTATTATTTTTATTTTTGTATTTATTAGTATTATATGGAGTAATTTTTATTATATTTACAATTATAATTATAGAAATAAATATTACAATTATAATTACAATTATAAATTATATAAGTAATTATAATTAAAAATATAATTACCATTATAATTGTATCCATAGTTATAATTAGTGTAATAGGTATAATTATTATTTTAATTTTATTTATTATTATATTTTTTATAATTATAATTATAATTTTATTTAAATTATATTAGTAATTACAATTATAATTATAATAACTATAACTTTAATTATAATTATAGAACTATTGAAATCTGATAAAAAAGATTCAGATCAGATCAGAAGGATTCAGATCTGAAACATTCAGACCATATCAGAAAGGTTCAGATCAGATCAGATCAGATCAGATCAGATCAGAAAAATTCAGATCAGATCAGATCAGAACTTAAAAATTAATTCAGATCAGAAACATTCAGATCAGGTGAAGAGAACATCTTCTAAGTGTACCTTCAATTATCGGGGAAAAAAGGACCAAAGCTTCATATTTATAATTTTTTAACAGAAATTAAAATTTGTACCAAAATTTATAAGTACTTTATAACTAATACACACAACATATGTAAGTATTTCATTGAATAATATCCATTAATTCTTCATTTGAATTTGTATTCATATTCGGAAATGGGTACAATTTTTTCTAACATTATTCCTTTTGTTGCATGGTTGCATGATTGCATCATTGAGTGTTTATTAGGTCTCAAATATGATGCAAGATGTTTTTACTTGGACTGTAATTTGCCCCAGACCAGAGCAGACCAGACCAGACCAGTTCAGACCAGACCAGACTTGGATAGTTATAAAAATACAAAGAAACCAGACCTTACCAGACCAGACCAGACCAGTTCAGACCAGACCAGACCAAATCAGACCAGACCAGACCAGACCAGCAAATTACAGTCCAAGTAAAAACATCCGTAGTCGTCGCCTCATACATATGGCTCTCAAACCGTAATGTTATCATTTAATTTGAAAAATAAAAACTATTGCATGCTAATACTGTGTATTTTGCTAAATGGTTAAGAAAGTGTTTCTGATTGCTTCCACTTTAAAAAAATAATTTTTAAAGTGATTTAAAAAACAATGCTTCGTCATCATCATCTTCATTATCCCAGTGCCGCAAAGGCTCCCCACCTACGGTGAGGTAAGGGGAAGTCGGATGTACGCAGTCTTACCCCTGTACTAATGTACAACGAGACTGTTTCTGAATGACCCATAGATAAAATCGCGTCGAAAATTGCATAGATTGACTGTTACTTCATAACAAAGAAGCGCAGACAGTTTACTGAGCCATTTTGCTTTATTCCATCACATTCTCACGTCAAAAAATAGTGAGTCTTTGGCTCCATTGAAAATTGATGGAAAGTTTAGAAACAATGCTTAATAGTAAAAATTAAGCATTAGTGTTTGAGGAAAAAATGTTCACTAATTGCCCTAAATAGGAGTAAAAACATTTTGAAATTCCAAAATAGGACTATCATGTTTTTTATTTCCTGAATAGTAGTGTAATCTGCCAAGTTTGAAAAAAAAATGTCATGTTTATAGTCCTGTAAAGCCAAACTTGGCAGAAATTTACTCCTATTCAGGGAATAAAAAAACATGATAATCCTATTTTGAAAATTCAAAATGTTTTTACTCCTATTTAGGGAATTCTTAAGCAGAAATTGCCCTAAATAGGAGTAAAACGTTTTGAAATTCACGGAATTTAAAAACATTGTTTGATAAAACAATGTTTTTTATGTAATAGATAAAGTGAAAAACAGTTTAAAACACACTTCACATGTTTCTAGCTTTTAGTTTTTAGTACTTAAATATAAGCTGAAGTTAGGGGTGGGAAGAGGTCAGGCAGTCTGTTAGGGGCCTATGGCCTGGCCTGCTTAAGGCCTGGCCTGGCCTGACCTGTTTAATAATTAAAGTAGGCTTGGCCTTTTCGAAAAGCCCGTTTACCTAAATAGATCAGGCTTAGCCAAACTCTAAAGCCTATTTAGCTTAACAGACCGGCCTATTTATATGTGTATATAAATATATGTCTGTATAAATATTTAGTTATATTTATATTTATTTTTTATTATTTATATTATATTAGTATAATTAACTATAGCAAATTAAGCATAATAGTATTTTTATGAAGTGTGTATTATATAAATACACACTTAATTACACACTTAATATTAGAATACTATTTCAATTATATAAAGTGTGTTAATAGGGTATTAGGGTACTTAAAATTCAAAGATTTTCAAGATTTGAAGTATATAAAAATTTATAAGCTACATAATTAACGTATTATTACATTCAAAGCAAATCTAATGTATTATTAGACTTTTTAGTGAATATTTGGGGGGGGGGGGGGGGCAAATTTTATATCGGGCTAAAAGGATTTTTCACTTTTTATTTTATATTTTTTTGAACTTTTGATTTTTTTCTTAACAGGCCCGCTAAACAGGCTTCAGACCAGGCTTTTCAACAGGTCAGGCCCAGGCCGAACAAACAGGCCTGTAACAGGTAACAAGCCAGGCTCATGCCTATTAGTTCTAAAACAGGCCCGGCCTGTTTAGGCAAAAGTCTGGCCTGACCTGGCCTGTTTCCACCCCTAGTTGAACTTGTATTTTTTTGCAAACACTCCTTAAATAGTTCTTATATTCATCCAGATTTTTCAATACACTACATACCCCATATCAATTACAATCTATTTTATATAAATATGACCAAAATAAAGATAATTTATGACTAGTGACTAGAGTAGTAATGGAATCATAGTAATTCATATTCAAATTTTGAGCTTAAGTTACCAAAATCTCATATTGTAGTAATGAATAGTCATATTTAAGTAAATACGAAGTATGTTTTATTCTAGTAATATTCTTGTAAAAAACATTCCTATACATCAAAATCATTAGTTGAACCAAGAAAATATAAAACCTCATTTTAGCAAGTACCAAACATATCGCATTCGTTTGCTTTTTAATAGGTAGATACTAGTGTGATTCCATAATCCCTTTGAATTGCTCAATTCACTCCAACTAATTAATAAGTCAAGTAATAAATTGATTGGCGAAAGCTCAAAATAAAATAAGTTAGATGTTTTTAATTGGACTAAAATTTTATGTTTTGTTCTAGTTTAGCCTGGACGTATGGTCTGTTTAACTCTGGTGTATTGTGCACTGATCTGGTCTGGTAAACGTATTGTCTAGCTTAGTGTATTTGTAACTATTCAAGTCTGATGTTGTCTGTTTAAATTTGATTTAGTCTAATATACTACTACGTAGTACTATCCTATATGGTTTATTAGGACTGAAAATAGTTGAAGTAAAAACTTTTTGAGGGTTGTATGTTGAGTATACATCATTTACCAGTTGAATTGAGATCGGCAACGCAAATGTCTTGCAAAGGGCTGGGGTCGTGTGCAAAGACAACAGAAGAAGATATAGCCAAAACGGCACTCGCAACCATAAAGAACTGAAGGGCGGCCATAGTCTACAATTATGAGCGCCGGCGAGGGAGAAGATGAGAGAAATTACATGCAGTAAATGCAATGGAGGGGGCCTTTTATAGGTAAAAATCTCCACAGTTGATCATAACTCCAAGTGGGTAAATGCATGCATTGTTTTACACATCGCCATCAAGTCTGCTATTTTTACTTTAGTTTCTTCTTTAATTAGAGAGTAACTTTAGTTGTTTTTTGTACGTAATCTTTATATTTGGTTTTGCTTTCTAGTTTTCCTTAGCTTCTTTCTTTAATTAGTGAGTAAATCATGTTGTTTTTTGTACGCAATCCTATATTTCGTTTTGCATTCAATATGTGCAAATCTTTTTAAGGTATGATAGACTGGGGGTACAAATGTTAACTGTGCATATGTGTAGGAACGAAGATAAGATTTAAGGATTTGGTTATGGAGATCGAAGGGAGTCAGGGGCGGATCCAGAAAAGAGGGGTGTGGTAGGATATGCAGTAAAAAAAATTGTCATTGCGCATAAAAGGTTTAGCTTAGGGTTGTTGTCGAGTCGAGCTTTTTTTGAATTAATCGAGTTCGAACGTGATTTCGAATTTAATATAATGACTCGAGCTTTATGAGTTCTGAACTCGAACACGGACTAGTTTTTGAGTTCAAAAAGTTATTCAATCTGAGTTCGAACATAATGATGTTCGGTTCGATCCGAAGTCTAGCCTATTGATAACTTATAAATTATAGGAATAAATTATACTCCCTCCGTCCAGTAAAGTAGTTCTCGTTCGATTTACCATGCTTGACTGACAATAAAGCAACTCGATCTGCACACTCAGATTATTTTTAGTAAATAAAATTTACATATTCAGAAACTACATTAAAACCGCTACAAAGCCTAATCAAGAAAATTTAAATTTGATACATAAAGTAAAAGATTAGGAGTGATTTAAATTGTCCAATGAATAGTGAACAAGAACTTCATTTCGGATGGAGGTAGGATATAATTATAAATTTATTAATGGTGATTAAAGATTCTAGAATTTTCTTTAAAAAAAAAAAAAAGATTCTAGCTAGTATTTATTGGTATAGATTAAAATACTTCACTAAGCTTCCGGTCAAGATTACCCACTTGCTAAATCAAATGCTAGCTAATTTTTTCTGGGGCAGTGGTACAACCAAACCAAAATACCACTGGAAGAAATGGGAAGCAGGGCCGTTTTTTAGGGGGTTAATTAGGTTCTTTGGAACAGGGCCCCCAGATTTATGGGCCCCCAAATTTTAAACATTTATTAGTATTATATATTAATATAATAATAATCAGTAAAATACAATTAGTAATGAAGAAAAATATAGATCTATCGTTTTTCGTTGGTCCTTTAGTTTTCATTTACTCAAATTGCTTGAATAATGAGGTGTCTTGCTTTAAATCAAAATTAAGTAGGTTTTAGATAAAAAATTATTACATTATTAAATAAGTATTCAATTGATTTAAGTATAAGTATTTGAATTAAGTTTTTTTTAAATATTTTAATTCTAGTGGGGTCCCAATTTTACATTTGGAACCGGGGCCTCCAAATTCATTAGACGGCCCTGATGGGAAGCCCTGTGCAGACCGGGGGAGGAAGGCGGGCTAAACATAAGGTCAATCACAGATAATCAGGAAGCACTGCATATCAAACTTTGGTGGCGCTATAAAGAGAATAAGTCTGCCTGGTCACTGTACATGCACAAGAGATACTACAGATCTGGTCTTATGATCCCTAAGTCTAAGGATTCCCCCATTTGGAAACTCCTTTGCACTATTGATCAGACCCACCATGATTTAATCAATGAGGATGTTTTTCCTTGGACTGTAATTTGCCCCAGACCAGACCAGACCAGACCAGACCAGTCCAGACCAGACCAGACCAGACCAGACTTGGATAGTTATAAAAATACAAAGAAACCAGACCTTAACAGACCAGACCATACCAGTTCAGACCAGACCAGATCAGACCAGACCAGCAAATTACAGTCCAAGTAAAAACATCCTGAGTCCGACTCTAGTCCTATTTGGGTTCCAGAACAAGATGGTAACTTCTCCCTATCCAGTGCCTACAATCAAACTCGCTCCCACCATCCCATCCTATTCAGCTATTCCCAAATTTGGTGCTCCAAACTTCAACTCAAACTGAAGCTTTTCCTCTGGAAAGTCTAACCCACCTCCTACCCTTCCCAGATAACCTTACCCGTTTCAATATCAGTTTGGCTACCCGGTGCCCCATGTGCTGTAACCATCAAGAGAGTCTAAACCACTGTTTATTCAGTTGCCCTCTAACTAAACCCATATGGGATTATTTTGCTTGTCTTTTGCAGGTCAGAAGAACAAACCACACAGGTCTAAGGCAAACATTGTTTATATGGTGGCTTGGAGGCAAATCAGTAAACATTCAGAGCACTATTAGACACGCTATGCCTGGAATAATCCTATGGCATATTTGGAAAGCTTACAACAACACCATTTGGGAAGGGAAAACATTTTCAACATTACATACCATCTCAACAATTAAGCAATACACGAGAGAATGGGTGTACAGCCATGCTCATCAAAAAGGATTTGAATTTGACACGGAACTACACACAGACGGTTTAGTGCCTTATTTCAAACATCAAAAGAGAAGTCATACACACAAAATCACTTGGCTCACAGAGTACACAGGGAACCTTACCCTCAACACAGACGCTTCCTTCGCTAGTAATAATGCTACAGGAGGAGCGATTCTTCGAGACAGGTTTGGTGATCTCCAGCAAGCAGTAGCCTTTCCTGTCACTGCACGCAACCCTCTCCAAGCTGAAATTGCATCATTGTCCACCTCAATCCAAATCATGATAGATAAGGGTTACAAGGTGTAACACTTGAGATTTAATATAAACGGATTAATAGTACTACTCATACCAACAAGATGCATCTCCTTTTAAGGGAGCTCATCACCAAGAACTCCAAAGTTAAGCGTGCTTGCACGGGAGTAGTCTTGGGATGGGTGACCCCCCTGGGAAGTTTCTCAGGGCGCGCACGAGTGAGGACAAAGTGCGCGTAAAAGGCTAGTGGCGGTTTGTGAGGACAGTACTATTGGTTCGGAGTAACTACCTCAGGTCCGGTGGGGCCGGGGTGTTACAGGTGGTATCAGAGCAACCCTGCGACAGTGTGCTGATCCGTTGGGTATCGGGCGGACACATAGCAGGGGAAAAGATTCTGGGGTGTGATTGAGGCAAACTTTGTTGCTCACTTTCTGGCCAATATGGCACTCCGCTCATCACTCTCACAACCATTGTTTTTTACAGCAGCCGACTTGCCATCTAAAGCAAAGAAAAGCTATGTTGCAGACAAGAAAGGATCCTCCTTCTTTAGGGACACTGGGTAATCCGTCTTCATCTTTCAGCGCAGCCTAATAGTATTTCTCTAGCGCTCTCAACCTTCGCATGTGTTAACCCTAATCGTCCGACATTCCTCCTTGGCGTATTATGTTCGGATCGGTTGGGCCATCCTCTACTTACCAGTTAATGGGCCACCTCAATGTCCCACTTTTGGATGAAACCAGGCTCAACTAAACGGCTCTCCAGCGCTTCACCTTTGGCACAAGCCTTCTTGTATTTGTTTTTGGCATCTTAAACGTTTCTTTTTGTGTATCCCCTCTTTCGATATTTTAATAAAATCGTTGGTTTAAAAAAAAATACTTCTATAGAATATAATGCTAACGGTTGTACATAAAACATATAAGTATTCCCAATTTCAAAATTGAATTGAGATTTGTAATTCTTTCTTACATGTCAAATCAATAAATTTAAAATGAATAAACACTATTTTATTAGCTACGTACATAAAATTCAATTAATAATCAAATAGAATTACAAATCTAAAAAAATATACAAAATAATACTCCCTCCGTCCTGGAAACAAGTTCCCACTTTCCTTATTTGGATTTCCCAAAATAAACTTCTCATTTTCTTATTTGGCAAATTATCTACTTAAAAAAGTGCAAAACAGTGTCAAACAGTATCAAACAGTGTCGAAACAGTGCAAAACAGTGTCAAAACAGTAAAATTTACCCCTCAGAAACTTTATTTACTTAAAATGTGTGAAAGTTAACCCGAGAACTTGTTTCTGGGACGGAGGTAGTAAATTAAAAGAGTATCTAAATCTAATCTAAAATATTATAAACACCAATGAGGGTTGCTAGGGTATTTTTGGTATATTAAATGTGTTGGTGTAACATAAAGCAAGATGTTGTTGTACATTATGCTCCCATGATTATACCACATATTGCTACTCTTTTATTTCTGTTAAATCCATGCGCTTAGCCATCGTTAGTTACCTTCCGAGTTCCCCGTTAAATCCATGCGCTTAGCCGTCGTTAGTTACCTTCCGAGTTCCGACTTCACATTGTTCCTTCCGTATTTGATTTATTTTTCTCGGTTAATAGTTTCATTCACATTTGAATATTAAATTCATTTTTTTGGCACCCATCTAAATTGAAATGGACAAACGGCTTTAGCATAAATGTGACTTGTCACTTGTGACTTGTAGGAACCTTATTGAAGACAAATTTTCTCACTCACTTTCTTTGGTGTAAGAAGGTATGTAAGGATGTTTTACTTGAAGTGTAATTTGTTGGTCTGATTTGGTCTGATCTGGTCTGGTCTGGTTTCTTGTGTTTTTATAATTATCTAAGTCTGGTCTGTTCTGTTCTAGTCTGGTCTGATCTGGGACAGATTATTGTCCAAGTAAAAACATCCTAAAACGTTAAATAGAAACAATTTCTTTTATTACTATTATTATTATTGATGTTGTTGTCGTTATTATTATTGTTGTTGTTGTTGTTATTATTATTATTATTATTATTATTATTATTATTATTAGGAATAAAGGTGAAATTGACACTATGGTTATATGTGAATCTCATATTGAACACTAAGATTTTAAATGTACCAAATTGGACATTATAACTATATATG